CTATCACTTCAGAGATGGCTGGGTGGTGTTCTGTGCACTCCAGACGTATTGAATTACATTTCCCAAATTTCCTGCCACCGTGGCTATACAGGCTGAGAGTTTTGGGAGATGTAATTCAACACATCTTCTAGTACCAGGTTAGGAAAGGCTATATTCAAAACAATACTTGAGAGGAGAGTAAGTTAAGATGATATGCTTTGTTTTTTGGGGGGTTATTTGTAAATATAACATATCCTAAACCTGGTTTTGACAGGAGTTTAATCAACAGTCTTGTCAACAAATCAGATATAACTAAACTAAATACTTCATTCCAGAAGTATTTCAGAATTCCAGTTTTATTCTAAAAAAAATATCCTAAAGAGGAGTAACTTTCACTAGTTTTAGAGAATTTAAATTCACCTTAAGTGATCTAAGACCACAGTTGTTTTAAACGAAATTCAGCAAAATTGCAATTTGCTGAGGTATGCATTGTAAAGAAAACAAGCTACCCATTATAGAATTTAGAGAGAATCCAAGCAAACAAGCATGTCTTGATTGGATTATGCAGTTAAATTTAACACGGACAATCAAAGAAAACTCCTTTATATTTAAAGGTTTGGATAAATGAATATTCCTAGCAAATAAAATGTATTCAATTAAAACCTCATGCACTTCTGAACTGAAGTGGAATCGACTGTAATTGATTTATTTGAAACCAGAGGTTAAGGACTGAATTAGCTAAGTACAACTGGGTATTTCAAGCCACTGACTTATCAAATGTCAAATCTCTTCTATTTTAAATATTATTTCAGCTGCAGGGCATTGCTATCCTGATGGCTGTTCCACCAGTTAAATCTCAAATTATATTAATATTCGATTTTGGGGTTTGGGAAGAAGGAGGGGTAGATTATGATTTATTACAGAGGAGGGTGGTAACCATTCAGCTTGAAGACACATTGTGGTACATTTTTTAAAAATGCATAAATTAGCATAGCATGAAGGGACTGCACTATAGCTCATTAACATTTAACCATTGATACTAATTTCTATAACGGTGTGTGTGTTAAGGTTAGCAGCTAAAAGCATTGCCTAGAATTTGAAAGGCTGCAACAGTGATTGATTACAACACTTAAAATACATCCCCCCTCCCTGAAAAATACTGTGAAAGTAATTACCATGATTTGGTAACTGCACTTTTGTCACAGCAGATGAGCCCCAAACTGTAATGAACCCATTATTATCTCCTGCAATAAGCACTGATTTTTTTTTTTTTAAAAAAAAGGTCAAAATGAAATACTGAGATATATTCTCAATGTTTACTGCAGGTTTCTAAAGCAGAATAAACAAATAATTTCAATAATCATCAGACTTATTGTTAACTAAAAGTAAGTTTCGGTTCACAAAAAAAGTAAAAAAATGGGGTGTTAATAATAAACGTATTTTTTAAATAAACCAATGATCAATATTTTAACATGAATCAAGCAATGCATATATATATATCATTTAAGGTTTACCATTTTTACCATTCTAATTCTTAATTGTTTGCAATAAGTAACTATGCAATATTTATTAAATTTCATTTCTGAAATTGTATTTTACTACCGGATACATTATTCATATCTTTTGAATTATTAGGAATGTTGTAAGATTAAATATGCTTTACACATTCCCCAGTTACAGCTAAAAACTATTAGGCAGATTTTAAAAAAAAAGTAACAAGCATCTGTAAATCCAGATATGAATGAATGGTATTTAATAAGATTGTTTTTTCATTTAAAAATGAGTATTTATGCATTGCTGGAGAAAGAGCAGCAGTGTGTGCATTGCTGTTTATGAATGCCATTGTGCCTGAGGTTAGGATCCCCCACACAATCTGAGTTGCAGCCAAGAAAAACAGCCCAGATAGACAATGCTTCACTTCACCTGCTACAATGCTGTGCATTTCATTTATGTCAAGGCTGCATGTACAGTTAGGGTTCATTCACCTTATTATTTTGTTACATCCACTTTACAGTTAACCAATGTATCTGGGGCAAGGGGATGAATAAGCATTTTCAAAAAGATATGCAGAAGATCCACTTTCAAAGTCTATCTCACAGAGATAATATGCCATCAGAGGAAGAATATTTCACTGTTAAACTGCATTTTAAAAGCAGCAAACCAACTATCCTGGTTTTCTGTTGTCTTCCTTAAGTAAAGCAGCAGTCAGGAAGAAACAGAACTTCCGTTATCTACTGGACTGATTTCCTTTATCAACAATCAAATAGAAATACCAGATCTAATTTCTCTTTTCTGAGAAAAGGTACCATCTAGTTAAGACTTTTCAGTTCTGCTTTTGGCATTGAAGCAGAAGTCCCTGCACTGTCTTCTCAGGTATGCCATCACACTTTTAACTTTTTGCCATATTTATCACAGGATTAGACAAAATTGATCTGGATTGGTATCAATCATCATGATGGAAATAAGTTTCACAATGTTTGCTCAAACACTTCAGTTTCAATACTTCAAATCAGCATTTTAAGTATGTATTTCCACAAAAATAACACTTTAATATCAATATTTTACACTCTGCTTCTATTTCTATCAAACCACATTTGCATAAAGCCAACTTTGTACCATATGAACCCAAAGCAAATGAAATAATGAGTGTCACTGCAATTTTGATAAGAATGTACTTTGAGCCAATTTCTAATGTAAAAAGCATGCTAGCATCTCTTTCAAATGAATATCCTCATTCTTTGGAACTAAAATCTGGCCAATATGAAAATAAAATATTTCACACTTATCTAAAATTTAAGTTGTATTGCTTATAATTCAAACATGCATCGTTTCAAAATAAGAACTTCCTCATCCAAATATTGGAAAAACTATTATCATGATTAAATATTTACAGTAATGTGACCTGTACACATTCATAAAATCAAACCTAAAATAAATCTGAAGTAATATGTCAGACAATCAAGATGAGTATGATTACTTATTTTCCCTAGTATGAGAACTTATCCAATGCATTTACATTCTGTATGAACATTTGTATGTGAATATACTTAGTTACCCATAATTCTCATTCAGATATAACTCTCTTCCCATTCTTTAAATGGCATTGAAAATTAAAAAGCAATTCATATTATGTCAAACATTTAAAATGGGTAACCCTGATATATAATTATGAAGCAAGAACAAAACCTAAAGATCAAATAAATAAAATAAAACTTTATTTTTAAAAAATAAAATCACCTTTCAGTTAAAGGAAACTAAAAATGCCATTTCTTCAACAGTACAATATTTTTTTTAATCCAAAAGAATACATTTTGTTTTATTGTGTAATTTGTCTGAATACAGACTCAGTGGAATATCTAAATGATACCCTGCTCTGAACTCCAACTTGAAAGTAAGTTTTTATTATACTTGAGGGAAACAATGGGTTCAGCTGCTTATTGCAAAGAGCAATTGTCAAGGGAGAGTTAAACTCAATTACTGTAACCATACTGAATAAAAAATACTGCCAAGAACAAAAATACGCCTGGGTAAAGACAGCCACTGAATAAAAAAAAATCGACATAAAGCGTATCAAATATTTATTTATCTGGGCAACAAAGGACTATGATACATTGACAGGCATGGAAACTACTGCCAGCACAACTCAATACAATACAACTGTAACTGCTTCCAATATGGCCGATGGAAATAGAGGATACCAGGTGGTCCCCAATGTATGGAAGTTCTTTGAACCAAAAGGCAACTCAAAATGAAAAAGGGGAGAGGGAAGCGAAGATCCCCAGTTCTTTATCTGAATAGACAATATCAACTTATTGCTCTGATTATGCTTTCAATAGAAAGACCCTGGATAGAAACTTTTTTTTAAAGCCACAGTATACAAAGAGTTGTTAAAAATTATCAACATGTGGAAAAAATGTTTTTGGAAGGGGAACCTAAATTATTTCAGTGGAAATGGTGGTCGGTCTGGGTTGGACGGCTGATTTATTTTCCTTTATCAATGTGGAAACTAGGTATCATATTAATAATATATTTGTAAAAATCCAAGTTGCTTCAATCGCTTAGCTGCTTTATTGTCGCCTTTTTATAACATGCTACAACAGGGCTGAAGTGATGTATCCCAGAAAATACCACCCCACCTCCCCCTAAAAAACTCCCCTCCCATTTTCTAAATAAGTAACTATGAACCACAGTGATGGAACTAAGATGGGAAAGACTTAAAAACCCACTAAACAAGAGGTAAACGAGATCACCAGATAAATAATAAAAAAAAGCTTCAAACAGACTCACCATATTTACAGTTCCCATTAAATTACACATAAATAAATATATACATACATGAACACTGATTCCCTTATAGAAGCACTATGAATCGGTGTCACCATAAGAAAGTTCAAATTAGTCGCTTTACCTTGGCAGGAGAGAGGTTCTAAAACTGAAGACATGACATGGAACTGCATGTGGTTTGTGTTCAAGTTTATTCACAATACTGATAAAATGTCATCATCATCATCATCATCATCATTATCATCCTTTCTTTCCTGTTTTGTTTAAATATGGCTACAATCTTAAAACGGAAGTTTGTATAAGAGAAGGTGGTGATCCAGTCCGATGAAGCTTGTTTGATTTTTTTTTTCCACATTTCATTAATTATTAACCTTTAAACTCAGTTCTTTCTCTTTTTTTAGAAAAAAAAGTTGTTTTATTTTTTATCACTGTTTATTATTTTTGTTAAAAAATAATAAAAGTTCACACAGACGACCAAAAAAAAATTATTTTTTTTTTTCCTTTTCCTCTTAGGATGGCCCAATCGCCACCTTTGTTTTCTCAGGCTCCAAACTGGGTAGCAACTGGAAATGAACTGGGAAGTGGTGGAGGTAGGGAAGGAGAGAAGAAAAAGGGAAATGGTGGGAGGGGTGGGGGAGAGAGAGAGATGTGAATTTCCTGGTCCTCCTGAGTGAATAGGCTGGGACAGATTTCTGAGCTTCTCTTGCTGTAGCCTCAGGGTGAGGAGGGAGGGAGGGAGGGCCAGGCTGGCTGGTTGGCGGGCTGGGGCTGCAAGAAGAAAATCCTCATTTTCTGTGCTTCTCTTCTTTGTCGCCGCTTTTGGTGCTGTTATCTGTGTGACTATTAGGATTGTTGCTGAGGTACATTTTGTCCATGGCCTTGAGCGCCTCGGTGAGATAGTTCTGCAGGGCAGTGACTGCTGCGCACACAGCAGGGCTGCCAAAGCCGTGAGAGATGAGGTTGAAGTGGGTCAGGCAGCTCTGGATGCCCGGCTCCAGAATGGGGGTGGGCCGAGAGTTCCCCAGTGGAGATCGATCCTGAGCCAGCAGGTCGGTGAACTCCTTACAGATCTGTCTGCAGCATAAATGGAGCAGAGAGAAAGGGAGGGAGGAAAATAAGCCAGTGTTGTCAGCAAGCAGGCAAGCCAAGGAGTCAGTGCCTCCACAGCAAAGCCATACAAACACACACAGAAAGGATCTCTGCTCTTTTGCCCGCTCTCTCACTTTCTGCACCGCTAATATAGAAATGTTGACATCAGTGACAGCCTTTCACTTTCTCTCATCTCCCTGGCTTCTCCTCTGCACTGATTTACATCCACTTCTTCCAGGAACAATATTTTCTTTTCTTTTTTTGCCTTTCAACAGATAGGTGCATTTTTACACTAGGTCACCCTCTTATCTTGTGGCATCTAGAATCTTTTCCCCACATTTATCTGTGTGTGTGTTCATGTGTGTGCGTGCGTGCACTACATTGCGTGCATTACCTACCTATAGGGTGCTACTAATTGCTTAAACTTTGTGTCAGAAAATGAGGACCATGTCTTTATATCATCCCAAGGATAACATTTATAGATTACTGACGGTATGGAAAATATGAAAATATAATACAAAGCTACTGCTGTATCAATAATTATTGGAACAGCAGTTTGCATCAAATGTTTTCTTCATCCCAATATGCCCTCACATTTATTTACTGATGCGGGTATATGAGGTTTCTCTGTCATACTCAATACATCTGTTTTAACTTTTTTTCTCTCATATACATGCACATCCTCATAATCACATGAAAAATGTCAGAAAGTTCTATGAAAATCACACAAGCATGCACATTTTTCCTTGATACAAAACACATCTCCTACTTCCTTTCTCCAGAGTAATATCCACTGTTTACCCCCATCAAACTTGTTAATTACAAATTCTGTAACTAACATTCATGTCTAGTCTTCTGGCTTTAAGTCAACAGTTATTTTTTAGATCTAAGTATCACCATGAGCTTATAATTTTCCTTGAAAGTAAGTTGCATTGATCTCAATATCACACCCACTACTTTTTCTTTTCTTTCTTTTTTACTTATGACCCATGCGTTTATGAAAACTTCCATTATTCTCAGCCAGCAAATTAGCCATAAAGTGTGAGAGTAAATCTTATGGAAAAAACAAAGCTCCAATTTAGAAGGGGAACAGTTCTCAAAGCTATTTCTTTAGTTTATCAATCCCAGGACTCTCATTTCATATAAGATTTGGTGACATTAGAAAAATGCAGTAGTGTTTATGTAGGTCACAAAGCACTGGAATAAAGGGATCCACCAAGAAGTTAGATTCATACCATTATCTAAATAAGCTGCCAGCAGAGAAGAAAAACTAGGAGCATATATATGGCAGCAGTTGAGTTTCTGAAGGCCAGTATTGAGACATATTTCAGCTGTATATCTCTCCCAATAACTGGGTGCCCTCTGGCCCACTGTTCTTTGGTGAATCACCATCTGTAATTAACTACTATGAGGGGGGAAAGCATTTTAATTTCCAGCAAACACATCATTTACAATAATTGAGAGTTCCCTCTCCTCTTCCCCCCCCCACCACCTAACCTGAATATTGAATATCTTTTCTATTAAGTTATCCCTAGAGTCTTTATCTTAAAATAAACCCCACTGGCATTTTAGTTGCTTAGAAGTGAAATACTTTTAATACCTGAATTCACAGTTAATCAATCTTCAGCATTTTTATTTAGCATGTAAGTTCCACTGAGATCAATTTTACTTACTTCCAAATAACTATGCAATCTTGTCTACAATCCTCAAAATAAATCCCACTATACTTAACGGGGCTTACTCTGATAAATCTACAGAGCCTCGCCATTAGAAATGTGCTATTTTCTTCCCATCTGAATGCCTCTAATAACATCATTCCAGGGAGGGAGGGGTGGGGATCATTCTCATATGTCTGCTTGATTTCAGCAATAGCGTCATTGGCAATAATATCGTTTCCCCTCGATGAGGAATGTGTACTTTTTAGTTACCTCGTCAAGGCAATCACGCAGGTACGGAGAATAATATATCCGCGGCAAACAAATGTAAATGCACCACAGGAAGAGCTCAGCGCACAACCAAACATAACAAACAAAATCCTTCCTTAGGACTATTCCGCAGAGGTAAAAGTCTTACTTCGTCGCTAGAAGCATGTTTTTTCTTGTGACTTGTTCGTTTGGATCGGAATGTTGCCGGTTGAGAAATTCAGCTACTGCTTTGGCAGGAAATTCTGTTTCACAGACGTAACCAAAATCTCTCGCGAGATGCACGGCTTCTCCTGAAATTCAGATTGGGAGGAAACACATAATTAATACCCAAAAGCATAAGCTGGTGGCAGGAACGGGGGGGAACTCGTGCCAACAAATCTATGGGATTTGTTATTAGAACTTTGCTAGGTGCATCTTTGGGTTCTTCACGCGATATTCAGTCAATCAAGATTAACTGGCATTTTGCAATCCACTAGTAAAGCGCTGCTTTAGAAAAGGCTAATAATATCTCAGCGCGCTAAAGAAATTTCCTGAAGGTAGTAAGTTGCTACGGGGAGGGGGGTGGGCAGCCAAATGCATTGTTTTAAATCAAACTATCAGCGTGTTAATACCGATCCTAAAGAATCCTTTGGGGGTGTTGGGATGCTGATTAGGCAATTCAGAAAGCGGTAGATGTAAGTCAGTTTTTAGTCCTAAACTATATTGCAATATATTTATGGCATTTTGTTTAACAAACAAAAGTGCTCCAAGTGTTTTATCTCTGTTTTGTGAAGTTTAACTACGTTTCTCTTTGTGCTTTGAGTTTATATTGCATTACGGGAATGCATTACGTACACAGAAAAGAGAAACATACGAAACGTATCATTATTCTGTTCCTAGAGATTAATATTGATCATTGATCATTATTTCAATCCCCACCCCCCTAGACTGCATTAAATAGTTAAGTGCTTAAAATTTAACTTGATTGCATATAATTATCCTTCCTTCCCTTCCTCTCTCCCCCACCCCCCTTTTCAAACGATTAACCATAAGAATTTTAGGGTCATTCCATTGAGACTGTCTGTTTTGTTGATTTTCAAATCTTTGGTTTTAATTTCCTGAACCAGTTGGTTTTCACCGCAGGGCTTCCTGCCATTAGCTCGAGGTCCGGAAGAACGCATGCGCCAATTAGAGCTTCAAAGGCTCAGTCCACGGAGCTTGTTTCCATAAAATGGAGCGGATCATAAACAATAACAGGACTTGGGAAGCGGCCTCATCGCGTAAGGACCACAACCCAAACAATCGTCTATTATCTCTCGAGAGGGGAAAAAATTAGCCACTATTATTAGTTTATCTACGCATTAGCCTTATTCCTGTGTTTCTCTTCATCGTGATATGATGATCAAAACCGTGGCTTTTTAAAAAAATGAACGCTTCTTTGAAATCACAGGTTTTATTAAATGTTTAAAATATTCCCTCACATCACAATAACATTAGCATTTATCTCCTTTTCCTTTTTTTTCCTTCCCCCTTTTTCCTTCTCTATTTTTCCGTCAGCTACTCGTAAACTTTCTTTTGCTTTCCTTGATTACCCATTAGTTGCTGGTGGCATGTAAATACACTATTTATTAATGGCAAGACTCCTTGATGGAGTCTTGCCATTAATAAATAGTGTATTTACATGCACTTGATGGACTTTCAGTGGAAGCTGGCATTTTTATAATGCTGTAGCTTCACTTCTTTGATTTTTTTTTTTTTAAAAGGAAGGCAAGCAAAAAAAAATAAAAGATGACTATACGATGATAGTAAGCAAAACTAAAGCTAACTTGGCATGAAGAATGACTGAAAATTCACTATATATAACCAAAATCAAGGTTAAAGACCTCAAAATTAAAAACCAGTGAAGACTGCATGTATAGGACAGCTTACATCAACTTCCTTGGGTCAATAGCTACTACAAAGTAATTCTCAATTTAGCATGCCCCTTGCATTTCTTGTTCTCATTATAAACTTTATAACTATTTTAACATAAAGGAAGATACATGTCCACCCCTTTTGACTTTTTAATGTTCAAACAGTACATTCACCCATCCTCTTTTCATAATTAAAACAGAAGGAAAATAAAGCATTTCTATGTTTATTCCTTAATTATACCAAGCAAAGAGGAGATCAGAAGCTTGCAGTAAGATTAGGACACTGTTAAATCATGATTTAAGTCAAGGATTCCCAAATTAATTCAAGAAGTTATGGTTCTATATTTTTCAAATGCAGATGTCAAAATGATTTAAATATAAATAAGCTACTGGTATGTAGCTTAAAATAACAGAGTTGTATCTTAAGGTAGCTATAGGATCTAACTTTTTAATGCTTATTGCTTTTTAATGCAAAGAATGAGATCCTGACCACTGGAAACAGATCTTAAGTGTTGTTGGATCCAATAAATGATCTTCCAGCCTAAGTGTTACAGCACATTAATGCAGCATGCTTTTTATGTGCCAAAATAAAAAAAAATATTCCTGATCTCATTTCTAAACAGATTTTTTTCCTTCCCATCTGTTGGTCTAAAATTGCTCATATAGTTAGTTGCTGAAACAACTAGCAGAGATGGTAACTCCTTAGTGGTTGGTAATGCTGCCAATCATTCTGTGTCTGTTGTCCCATTATCAAGCATAAAGACAGAGAATCAAGAATAGATATAGAGTTTTTAAAGTTTTTTTATCTGAATAATGTTTCCATATTTGATTAGTAGGCCACTATATATGTGCATACACATATTCTATTCAACTCTGAAGACACTAGAAAATAAAGACAGAGCTAAACAGGATAAAAATAAAATCAAAGTTAAACAAAACACACTGTTTATTTGGGATTCACTATAGCCAACAATTAATGAAACAATTAACATTTTCACTCAAAGATAGTATTTTTAAACCCTTTACTCATATAATAGTGAACAGGGACTTGCTCTCAGAATTCATCCTTATATTCTTAATGTTTCTCTGCATTGGTATTATACTAAGGAGTCATTTTGAGTTATTTAAGCTGTATTCGTCTGAGCAGAAATAATGCAATAAATCTATGGACTTCAAAGGGATGGCTGTAGAATTTGAAGTGACTAACATTGTTCATATTCAATCTGATTTTCAGTCTGAATTAATTTTATAGGACTTATAATTGGATCTTCTGTTAACTATATAATATAGATGAACTGTTTGCCTTTAATATATTTGTAAATATTAAAATCTGTTCATTTCCTAAACATATTTACAATAATATGCATACAAGGAGCAACTATCTTACGTGGTAAATGAACTAAATAATTTTCAGCATGACTATATGTTTTCTAACTCTACTAGTTTATAAATTATAGCCCAGTTATATGCCTTAGCTATATGGAAAACCATCATAACCCAAATCCTTGTTATGTGAATCAAGATATATATAATTGTATATGTCACTATTTTGCCCCTTTCACTTGGGATTACACTGATTAAAATCCAATTAAAATCCACCATGTCAATCAGTGATTAATAAATTAAGCCATTAGTTATGTTTACTCTATTAATGTTTTCAGTCCTACTTTTTAATCCAAGTGATCAATCAACTAGCAACCCGGTTAAAGTGAAGCATTACACTGCATGCCAATTTGGTTACATTCATTTCACTGAGATTTAGCATCCAAGTCTGAAATGCATTGCAAGGGTTTAAATCCAAATAAATAGCAATAAAGCCACATCCAATGTTATGACATCAATGGATTTTGGCTGGGAGTCCACTTTTTAAAAAAAAAAATACAAGAGGAAAAAGGTCACACTGACCAATAATGATTTAAAGTAAACAATATGCATAAACATTTCAGGGTCAACTCCACAAGGTTTGTTTTCTTCAGCTAACAAAAAGAAACATTTTCCAAATAATGCCTTTCCTTCTGCCAAAAAGCCATCACTTACCCTCCACTAGTGATGTCAGCAGGGTAACATTAGCAGCTTTACGTCTCCCGGCTGGCAAATTTAATCCTATTTTGTCCAGTTTTTCTCTCAAAGATCTCCCTCCATTTTTTGATTTTGCCCTGTTCCACATATTAAAAAGACAACAGCACTTAAGACAGAAGTACCTTCAGGTTCATACTGCAACTTTTTCAGATACTTTGCTATAAATCTATACATGTTTATTAATATAATTTAGTAAGTTTAATTGGGAAAAATTTAAATTTGGCTGCTATAGAGTTGTACACTTCTGTACAGGATTCATTGAAATACACTAAAATAACTACACATGTTAAACAGATAGTTAAATCTTTTATATTCTTACAATATCAGCTGCAAATTGTATGTGGACACTAATTACACTCACAAGCTTAATAAAAGACGTTTATATATTGTGATCAAGCCTACAGTCATTGAGAGGTTTTTGCATAGTTGTGAACCAATGGGAGATGTATTTTAGCCAGATTTCCTTGCATTATGTAAGATTTACAATCATCATTTGCCCTTCATTATAGATACTACATTCAATCTGGCAAACAGATTAAACAGGAAAGATATCTCTTATCTTGCACACTAGCATGAGATATTTTTAATGACTTTTTCATAAATGTGTTCCTAGCCAAATTCCCCTCTTGCACTGGCCTTCCTCAGGAAAGTAATGCTGGCAGTGCCCTCAGCTGGTGTATATGAGCTTTCAACAAGCTGTGCTAGGATGAGTGACCTTGCTACACTAAAGGGTCCTTCCTATGATTGCTGATGTTGGCTGTATGAGTTGGTCTCATTAACAGGACATGCTGCCTGCTTTTAACTGAATGCAGGCTAATTTCCACAGATCCATGATGCTGTGCTGCATTATGGTCCAGGCTACAGATAATGACAGCAATGAAAACTCTTTAATACTAATTATTCTAATTGCCATTGTACTTTCAATAAATATATTGCAATTCATACTACTTTTTTAAATCACAGTCCTTTGAAATGTTAATGCTGTCGTTTTATTTCCGATGCAGATTTAATATTGAGATATAGGTAGCTTCTTTCATATTGTGTATTCTAAAAATAAGACCTGAAACTCAAATGCAAGATTTGGAGACTTGAAGGGAATAGCAAAACCCAAAGACCCTAGAGTTATTTTTAAAGGAAAATGTGGAAGGGTTGTGGCTCTGATCTCAAAACATGGAGCTTTTGAGATATATTCCCATTAATTCCACCAAATTTTGAGGGAATTAACATGAGGGAATTATGTGAAAACACTTAACACAAGAGTACTCTAAGCAGCCTTTTCTTTTCAAAATATGTTATTAACCCTCACAGTGAAAAATAAAGATGAAGAATGAGCCAGGAAACCGCACAATGAAGTGCAAAACAAAACAAATGGGGTTTTTAAAAAAAAATGTTAAAACCAGCAATGTCTGAGGGAGCCCAGAACGTTGCAGCAGATAATAGACGAAGTGACATTTGGATATTGGGAAGAAAAGCTTTATTTTCTCCTCCCAGTAACAGCAGCTACCTTCTGTAAAAAAAAATAAAAAATAAAAAGGAGAAAAGCAGCTTTGGAAAACGAGTGAAGATGTGCGGGGGGGGGGGCAAAGTGCGAGGTGGTACACCCACTGTGAGAAATTAAACAATAGGTGGGGAGGAAAAGAGGTGGGAGCTGGAGCTTTTGGGGAAAGAGATGATTGGCTGAGGCTGAACCTCGCAACCACGTGCACACCCTCTCTGCCAATGGGCTCCCTTCCCGCCACATTGCCTCTCGCAGCGAATCCAGGGCTAAAAGACGGCCTGGCCTTTTTCCCTCCTCAGTTCTCTCCCGCGCGCCACCCGAGAAGCCCAGCTCGGTCGAGTCCGCCTCACCTCCGTAGCACTCCGCCCAGCAGAGACGCGTTGAGGCACTCCGGCGGGGACAGGCGCCTCTGCACTTCCGCCACGGTGACTTTATATTTGGAGGTGGAGCTGAGCAGAGACAGGCGGCCGGGCACCGAACAGAAGACCTCGTTGGGATTCACCACGCCGCCGAAGAGCGCGTCCTTGTTGATGGGGATGGAGGAGACGGCGTTGGCGTTAGACTTGGAGAGGGACACGGGGCCTGCAGAAGGGGGGGGAGAGAGAAGAGAGGAGAAGGGAGGCCGAGGGGAAGGCAGAGCCGCGTTAGTGCACAAACGCTGAAGGGATTAGCAGCTGCTAGGAGCCTAAGGCGATGGTGGGGCGGCAGGCTTGGGAAACGTGGGCGATGACAGGAGTGGGGGAAGGGGATGAAAACAAGCCAGGAAAGGTGGCTGAGAGATGATGGCAGATGGGCAACAACGAGAATGGCGGCGCGGGGGGGGGGAAGGGGAAGTGTTTTGGAATAAGGGGTAGCCCTCAAGGCTGGCGGCCCCTTCCTCCTCTCCTCTCCTCTTCGTCCGCCTTTTTGCTTTGAAGACCAACAACCGAGAGCGGCTTAGCCTGGCCAGCACCATTTACCTCAGACCTCCCTCCCTCCCTCCCCCTCGCGAGTACAGTACGCATCGTCCACACTCGGCAACATCGACTTCGGACAAGAGAAAAAAGAAAAGAAAAATGGGGGTGGGGAACCCCGTTTACAAACTGGGGTGGGGTAGGGTGGAATATAATTCCTTGCGCAGCAACTTGGCCGGGACTATACAAGCCACATATGACCTTTGGAGAGAACCTCACATTTTAAATTCTCAGCGTTTGGGGGGGGGGGAAACTCGAGGGAGAAGAAGAGGGGGGCTCCGAGCCCTTGCTTAAAAGTCTAGCTCTGTGTTCTTTGGGTCCATAGTAAAAAAAAAAGTAAGCGAATCTTTTCAGGCAGAAGCACACAAAACAAGTTTCAGCGTCTGGGTTGGCTAGTTCCCAGCCCCCATTGAAGGATCAGTCTAAATCAGGATTGGATCAAAATTAAGGATTTTCCACGGGTGGCGAGGAGGAGGTGGGGTTAAAATTGCCTCCTCTGTCCTAAATTATTCCAGGAACAACAGATCGCTGGTAAACTTAAGGATACACGGCCTTAAAGCGTTAAGAATACCGAAAGGATTACGGGAAGAAGACATTCCCTGTTACTAATACTTATAAAAGACAATCACATAATATACCTTCGCTTGTTATGGGAGAATGTAATGCTACAAGCCACGCGGCTGTGGGCTTCATTTGTACTAGAGTAGCCCCTAGTACTTCCAATTGAATAGTTTCAAAGTAATTGGATTAGGTGTCACATTTTCTGCAATTGCAACTTTTTATATTGGGAAAGAGGCGCCAAAGAGGTATTTTCATTACTGTTTTCAAAGGTAATAGTACAATTTTCTTTTAACAATTACCCCCGAAACAAAATAAAGAAAAATGGATACATTTTTTTGGTCGACCTCCTTGCTACCATCTGTTTCCCAAAAAGAAAAGAAACTTCCTTGACACAACTTTCACTTTTCCCCTCATGAAAGTTCCAGAGCGTTATTAAAATAATATGCAGGGAAAGGGTAAAATTCTCCCAAATCTTTTGGCATGTTCAGTTTGGCTAACATCACTGAAAAATAAGGGCAGTCTTGTTTGAAGGCCAATGGACATGGCACTATGTTCCGACCTGGTTACACTATAAATATTTACTCTTTTATCAGCATCGGATTATTCCTCCTGTCCTTCATCCTACACTCATATACTTTGCATTTCCACTTTAATAGGTCTAATCCAAATGTTGAAGGGTGGAGCGTGGAGGAGGGATATCTAGGTTTCGGATAGATCACTTGTGACATTAATAGCTCTGGGGAGGCTAATAGAGACAATAGGAGTTAAACGAACTCTTGAGATTACTAATAAAAGAGCCAATTATCATGTCGACTTGGAAAGAGCATCACTTTAAGATTTATTCCTTGCACATCTAATTTGACGTGACAAAGACTCTCCAGACTAGGAGGAGGGGTAAAAAATTTTTAGCTTTCATTGTGTAGTGCTGAGGATTTTCAAGGAAGTACCGTTTTATAAAGCACAAGACCCTGCTAATATATAAGAAAGCCGCACTGATCCTTTCCCAAGCCTTTCATACCAAATGGCCAGAATCCGGCATTTCCCTGAACAGGGTTTAAAATTAAAGCCTAATTCTGCTCTGCTGCCAACATCGCGAATACTTTTAAAAAACAACAACAACGAAATTCCGAAGCCAGACAAGGTTTGGGAGATGAGAGGACGCTGCCTTCCAGACAAAAAACAAGTGCAACAAGACATTAGGAGGAAGCAGCTGAAATCAGGGCAAGCGAACCACAGACCCCGTTGCAGAGAGCAGGCTAAGCAAGCGAGTACCCTTCCGCCATCCTGCTCGCTTGTTACAACAAAGCCCTCTGATGTAAACAATCCAGAACAATCTCCTCAACCTGAAAGGGGGGGGGAGGGATAGGGGCGGGGGGGGGAAAACCGAACGGGATTGGCGCTTTCTTAGCTAATGAAACATACTTTCAAGGCAACTAAAGAAATTAGAAGTCAGTTCTGAGCCACAATGTCATTAGGAACAGCTAAAAACATGGATCTGTTCAGCTCGATAATATAATCATACATATACAGAGGGTGCGATTAAGTAAAAGAGTTATCAACCGAGATTGTCAATTTCGTTTTCCATTTTCAGCTCTGTTGTAAATTACAGGGAGGGGGCAGGGGGGAGAAACAGCCGCTTTAGTAAGTTCTCTCAGCTTCGGTATCAAGCTTGTGGGGACATGCTTGGAATGCTAAAGAAGTGGCTTACCTTTCTTAATTACAGTTTGATCTGGGATGTTAATACCGGGGTCCTCTACGTGCTGCAACAAAAGCAATACAAAAGGGATATGAATTTCTAAACACACCGAGAGAAACCCGCGAGAAGCTCTTTATTTCCCTATATCTTAACTAGTTTGGTGGTTTAAAAAAAAAAAAAAAAAGAACAATATTCATTTCCACATATTGACGTTTTTGAATTTAAAAAGCAAAGACTGGCTTCCAGTTACACAGAATCTTTGGAAAGCAGAAATGGTGCTACGTTTAAGGACAGCCCCCTCCCTTTAGTGGCATCTGCTCAGAAGTAGGTCCCACTGATCTCAATAGCCATTACCTGAATGCCTGAACTTACTTATAATTCAGGCCTCCCTAATGATCCACCTTACCGTGCTTTTTAACGCACGTTGACTTAAACTGAATTTTTTTTTTATCAGCGCCTCTCACTCTGAAATACGCATTTTAAGGGAAAGCTTTCCGGGCTCTTTGTGTTCTTTTTAAATGGAGGTTAACACTGTAATAAGATTCTAGAATAATGTTTTTTGGGCTACCCCTGCGTGCAGAAAACGGGGGGGGGGGAATATGCAGAAAATGGGGAGGGGAGAGAAACAGAGGAGGGGAGATTAACCCTGCAGGCTCCTGAAGCCCTTAGCAATTCTGGCGCCCTTCTAGTCCCAGGCAGTATTTATTTGCCCGCTGCTTTTAAATTCTGCTCCTCCGAAGGCTCGATGCTCGGTGCACGCGAGTGCGGCGCGCGCTGGAGTTTCAGACGTGATTGGAAAGCAAAATGAAAACCGCGTTTTCTCATTCCCAAACTGACAGTCGATCTAATCATGCAGGGGTCCTCAACCTTGGCAACTTTTAAGACTTGCGGACTTCAACTCCCAGAATTCCTCAGCCAGCCAGGAATTCTGGGAATTGAAGTCCACAAGTCTTAAAAGTTGCCAAGGTTGAGGACCCTTGATTTCTAATGTGTCTGTGTTTACAAATTAGCACTAACTCTGCTGAGCTCCAGAATTGCCCCTTGCGCCCCCCCGAACTTCAGCGCTACTATTTTAGGGCAGGTGCGCGCGCACGGGGTCCTATGGAGACCCCCCCCCCTCAAGCCCCCTTCCCCTCCTTCGCTGAGTCTCCGTCCAACAATAATACCGAGTCTAACATTTTCCATTCTGTCTTGGATTTATGCTCCTGTTAATTGTGCCTGATCTCAATGATTCCGGGTGGATGGTACGAAGTTGCTTTATTACAGGTTTTATTGTACTCCACGCTCTCATTTGTAACTTGCCTAAAGTGCTTCTGGATTTGAGCATAATTAAATTGAGAAATGTTCAGAAATGACGACGGCTGCCGTTTTCTTGGATTTTTTTTTTTTTTACTACATGGGGGGGAAATATCCCTTCCAAGAAAACAGTCCTAAACCTATAAAGAAAATCTAGTGGGGCGTAACGTTTTTATTTGTCTGATTTTTTTTTCCCCACCTAGGCAGAGTCTAGGGAAGCCACCGACTGTTAGGTTTTAAAATCCCGCCGAGATACTTATGTTTAAATAATTCTCGCCCTCGGCTTAGCAAGTATTCCGTATTAAGCAGCCGCCTCTTATATCAGTGGCTAAGTGCGGCAGGAGGAGAAAAATTGAAAATAGCCTTTCCTATCGTGGAAATTATTTTCAACGAACTTCATTAGCTCCGTGTCCACGGAGTTGCCTTTCCAAGGCCGCTCTCTATTCCATTGTCAAAGCCCGCATCCTAACGTGGACGCCGCTCGCCTCCCTCTAAGATCAATGCCCTCCTTTTTAAACGGATCAGATTTACCAGCTTTGGGAATAGTCGACCCCGAATAAAGAGGGAGGTGTTCCCTCTTCAGTCTTTTTTTTTTAATCTTAAACTACTTGGTAACAGGCCTTTCTTAAAACGAGCCAGAGATCTCTTAAATGCTGGGATAATAAAATAACCTACATTTATTATTTTTTTTAAAAAAATCGCACATGCTATTCTCCCGGCAACTGAAATCTCAGCAAAATCAAATCGTTTGCAACTTGATACCTAAAACAAAACACCGGTGGAAGTTCCCCCTGATTTCGGTGCAACTGTTTTTACTTATAAGTGCTGATTCAAACTGGGTTCCCCCCCCTAAGAAACCCTAGTTCCAAACCAGGTTTCCTTTCCGTTGTTTTCTTTTGAATGAAAAGAAAACTAACTGGTGTGGCTTTTTTCCCCCCCAAAAAGCGCCCAATTCCCACAGAGACACGGATACTTTAAGTGAAGTATGGCTTTTTTTGCAAAACAAAACCTAAGCACAATTTTCTTGGGAGGAATAAGAGAATTGGGCTTGTAAATGAATTCCCGTCTTCTTCACACATGGATTAATAAAAGGGAAAGGAATAAAGGAGATGGGGGAAATCGCTTTCTTAAAGGAACCCGTCGCAAAATTATCCTTGCCACATGAAATTGGAAATCATTAAACTGTCAGTGAACATACTAGGGTAATATTTGATCCAGTAATCTGCGGTGACATTTTAGCAAGGGGAACCAAAACAAACCCTAGGCTAACATTAGAAACTTCCTTTCCTCTTGCCCACAAATGTTTTCTATCCAAGCAGCACAAGAAGCAGGAGTAAAAAAATGCTGGTTTGTTTAAATCCTGCATTCAGTAGGAGAGTTTTCTAAGAAGCGATTCTCTTTTGCAGCCAGGCTGAGATGGTGCTTGCCCCTGGCTATGAAGGGCTCTAGGACGTTAAAGATGAGAGGAGAGACAACAGCTTTCTTTTCAAATTATACTTGCAGGTAAGAGAAACCAGATCCTGACTCAAATCAAAAAACCTTCCAGGCGCTCCAAAATCTGAGTTAAAATAATAACAATAGCAAAGCAGCAGCACATTGTTCTTTTTCTCTTGTGTGGGGGTGGCGGGCCTAGACCATTTCCTACGCTAGGTTTGCAATCCGAAGAATTGCGATTCATAGAGATTCTCTCTTTTCTTCTTCTTCTTCTTTTTCTTCCTCCTCCTCCTCCTCCTCCCCACCTTCCCAACAAGCAGCTCCGAAATGGGAAGAACGATTTGGGTCGGTTTTGCTTTCTTTTTCAAGCCAGCGAAAATCCGACTGAAAGCCAGGCATTTCTAAGGCGACACAGCCTTTTCAAGAGTTACCCCGCTTTGTCACGGAACATCAGCAAGGCAGCATGGCCAATGACACCAGTCAGGGATATTCTGGTTTTAATGTCTCTCCTTCCTTCCTTCCTTCCTTCCTTCCTTCCTTCCTTCCTTCCTTCCTTCCTTCCTTCCTTCCTTCCTTCCTTCCTTCTTTCCTTCCTTCCTTCCTTCCTTCTTTCATTCCTTCCTTCCTTCTTTCATTCCTTCCCTCCTTCCTTCTTTCCTTCCTTCCTTCCTTCCTTCCTTCCTTCTTTCATTCCTTCCTTCTTTCATTCCTTCCTTCCTTCCTTCCTTCCTTCCTTCCTTCCTTCCTTCCTTCTCTTCCTCTCCCAGCCCCTCCACTCCTCTATCAACAAAAGCAAAGAACTGTTTTTCTGCAGCGGGCATTAGCAACGAAGATAGTGGCGGGAGACAATTCAACTCTGGTTGCCAACCGCGAGACACAGTTGCCGCTTGCCTTCATGGACTGTGAAGGCTGGAGGCTTGACACGCACCCTGTAATTCCCACCCACCGGTGGGGAGCGGGGGAGGGGAGGAAGGAGAAGAAGCGTGGCAGGGCGAGAGGGAAAAAAAACAAAAAACAAAAGCCGGCTGGAAACCGCCTCCCCCCCCCCCTCCGCGGGTCTTCTTACCGGCACGTCCTCCAGCGAGTGAGGTATCGAGTGAATGGGAATATCTCCTAGTCCTGAGCCCAAGCCGTGAGGTCCGTGCAAGAGATCTTCATGCCGCCGGTAATCCCTCCGGGGATCCAAGCCGGAGAGCTGGTGGGGAAGTCCGCGGTGCGTATGCAAAAGCCCCGTGTCCTGGTTTTGCCTCTGTCCCGGCCAGCCCGGGTGCTGGGGTTGAGGCTGGGCGTGAAGAGGGTTCAAGCTATACGGATCGTTAACGTGGGAATACGGGTCTTGAGACTGTGGGTAAATGGGCTGGTATGGAGGTGGGAAATAGGGGGGCTGGAAGTCAGCGTTCGGTGTATGCGAGAGCGGAGGTGCGCTGGTGTAGGGGGACTGGCCCACCGACCCCAGCTGGGGTAGCCGGGCTGTCCCGTTGCTGGTAGCGTCGTGGCGGTCCTGATGAGTAAGAACACGAGAAAGGGGACAGGGAGACCAGAGAGAGAGAGAGAGAGAGAGAGAAAGAGAAGGTCAAAATCAAACTCTGGATTAGGCCAAATGTTTATCACCCTATTTAAAAAAAAACTATATTTGCGTTCAGACTAGAGTTCCAGATATTCCCGTCTGGCAGAAAACAGCCTCGTCTAAACGGAGCTGCTTGAATTCCAGTTAACAACCGAGGGGCGGGGGGGGGGACTCCAGTGGGGAAAAAAACCGAACAAAATTCTCCTCTTTAAGAGTAGATCCAGAAGATTTATTTTTTTTCCCCCTTCAAGAGGACTGGTGTGTATTCTCCGTGCGTGCTCGTCTGTGGGTGTGTGTAACCTTTGTTTTTTTTTTTTTTTTTTTTTTAAAAAGCCTACGGGCGCCGTTGTCAAAAAAAAGTGAAAGAGAGCACACAAATACTCTTTTCCTGGCTCTAAAAAGTGAAAGTGAATCGTTGCTGCGTTAGTCTTCCCTTTTCCCCAGGAAAACGGCACCCCCAAAAAATGCCGGGGAAAAAAGAACAGCATTTGGGAGGAAAATACTTAAATATAAGTATATGCCATAAGCCAGCACTTACAAATCTAGCAGGGGACCCAAGTGGATAAACAATGTGCTATTTCATTGACTGAAATCAAACCGTAATATAATATATAGGACGCCCAGCCTCGTATGTATGTGCGCGTGTAAATGCACACAGACATACACACATCCAGATGCGTGTACATGCAAATCATAGTATACGTAAACAACCAGGCAGCAAAATTAAGAGAAACGTAAAGATGAAGCTGAAGGGGAGAAAAAATGCAAAGAGGTTTTTTTGCTTCTGTTCAACCGGGACTTGGTAAATTATGAAATTGTAGCCCGCAGGTACGTCTCAAGGAAATTAACAGCCATCCAAATAGAAGTCGGGGAGGGGGGGGGAGGAGGAGGAGGAGGAGGGGAGAGGTAGCGGGGAAATAATAATAATAATAATAAAAAAGGTGCTGTTAAATGCCTTGGACTTTAGTCTCCCGAGGAGCGTTATTAACCCGGGAAAGGACAAGAGCGGAAAGAAGAGGTGGAAACCCAATCGGAAGGGGAGGGGAAACGCAAAGCAAAACAACACACAATGGACGGGTGTGGAAGCATGGCTAGCCTTTTGTAGTTTACTTGAAACAGCCAAAGTAATGAATGGCCCAAGAAGCTTTTGCAAACGGAGCAGGGGAAGACACACACGGAGAGGAGAGGTTTCGGCAGGAGGTGACACCCGGCCACCCGGCCACCCTTTCCCCCACCCACCCACCCACCCCAGAAGATGAGGAAAAGCATGAGGGTGACAAGGTTCCCAACCACCCATCCCAGATAGAGAAGTCAGAAGCCACTCACCATCGCTGAGAAACTGTGAACTAACATCTGCGCGGATTCGAGGGGACCAAGTCAGGGCAGGAAAAAAAAAAAAAAAAGGCAGAGAAAAGTGGGCTCTTTAAGGTCTCGCTCGTTCGCCCGCTTCCTAACTGTACTCTTGCTCTGTCCCTCTCTCTTTCTCCCTCTTGCACACCAGCGCTCTCTCTCTCTCTTTCTCTCTCTCTCTCTCTCTCTCACACACACACGCACACGCACACGCACACGCACAATGGAAGGAGCCCGGGTCTAGACCACCCCGAGTCCCCAACGCCCAGACTTGTCCGCCAGCACTGGGCAAGCGCGCCTATAATCCATCAGTCCACCACAGAATGGCCCCGCGTTCTGCAGCAGCGAAGGCGAGAACCGGATCCTTGGCGTGAGAGTTCACGATTCAAAGTTGAGTCGGGGTGCGCGCGCGCGCGCGCGCGCGCGTGTGTGTGTTCCTTAATCCGTTTGCGGGTGGTGTGCGTGTGTGCGCGTTAGTCCCCCACCTCGCTCGCTCTTTCTCTCTCTCTCTCTCTTTCTCTCCCTCCCTCCTTTTACTGCTGCACGTGAGTTCCTAAATGAGAGAGAGAGAGAGAGAGAGAGAGAGAGGGAAGGAAGGAGGGAGAGAGAGGGAGGGAGGGAGAGAGGGAAGGAGGGAGGGAGAGAGAGGGAGAGGAAGCTGCAGCCTGCTTCCCTTCAGACTCCTAATAGCAGATATTCATGACTATTAATACTACACGAATACTTAATAAGGGAAGAATGGCTGGAAATCGAGCGTGAAGCGAGGAAGCAACTCAAGGCAGAGGCTGTTCTAAATGACGTCCATTGAATGAAGAATCAGTGTATCTAATCAGAGGTGGGGGGAGCGAGCGAGCGAGAGAGAGAGAAAGAAAGGGGACCGGGGGGGGGGGGAAGTCATGCCGTTGCTGCGTCTGACGAATCACAGGAAAGGGGCAACATTTTAAAAGGTTGCAGGGCAGGCAGAAGTGAAAGAGAAAGAGAGCCAGGGAGAGCAAACGGGTGGGGGATCAAGGCAAGCCAAGGCAGGCACAGTAAAGGGAGAAAGGCGCAGAGAGAATGGGTGGGAAAAGGATCTGGAGAGACCAGGGGAAAGAGGAGGGGTGGGAAAAGGCACTGGAGGGAGGGAGGGAGGAAGGAAGGAAGGAAGGAGCCCTGGAAAGCAGAACGAGGAGAAGGAAACTGGGAAAGAGGGCCCGCTGAAAAACTTGGAGAAGGAGAGGGGAGGGAAAGGAGGGCGAATGGGAGAGGGCAGAGGAGGGGTTCCCCGGCAAAAGGGCCAGCACAGCAGTGGGGAAGCCACGCTAGGAACCAAGCTCAAGGCAAGGGAGGCGCACCTCGGGCGGTGGCGGCGGCGGCAGCGGCGGCTGGGTGAAGTCGGGCGCCTCAAAGGACAGGGCTAGCAACTGCCGGGCTCCGGCCCCCCTCTTGGCCCCAGAGGTGCTGCTGTCTGGCTCCGGCTTGGTGTCCCCGGCTTTCAGCTGCCGGAGTTCAGGCGGGCCCGGCAGTTCCGCTCCGGCGGCGTCCTGCTGCGTCAGGTCCATGACTGGAGGGCCCGGAGGAGGAGGAGGAGGAAGAGGAGGAGGAGGCGGCGCTGGCGCTGCGGGCCTTGGCCGGATCCCCGAGCAGAGGAACAGGGCTGTTCCCTCCCTCCTGGGCGCGTGGGATCCCGTCTCCCCAGGCGCTCAAGTCCCCAGGGAATCGGGGCCGTGGAGCTCTTCTCCACTTTCTGGGAGCCCAGAGGAGCCTTCCCCCCTTTGGGACTGAAGGCCGGGGAAGAGGGTGGCGAAGATACGCGGGGGGGGAGGGAGGGAAGGAAGGGGGGAAAAAAGGGAGGCGACTGCCGCTTTACTGGCCCTGACAAGCTCGGGCTCCCAGGCTGGGCCCAACCCGTCCAACTGGCTGGGCAGCTCCCAGCCAGCGAATCCGGGGAAATGACAGGCCTGCTCCACTTTGCCTGCCAACTTATCATAACAACAGGCATTTTTTTTTTTATTTTTTTTTTTTGCCGCCGAGCAAGCAGGCCTCGGCACAACTCCTGGGGCACACGCCTCACCCGAGGCATGGGGGGGGGGGGAAAATAAAAAATAAAAGCCTTGGTCGTCTCAAGCTGCTTGCCCTCCACCGCCTTCCGTTGCTGCTCTCGAGGTTCCCCTCAGCAAAAAAAAGAAAGAAAAAAGAAAAAAAAAAAAAGAAAGGGGCGCTGCCCAGCAGTCGAAAGAACCGGAAACCAAATGAAGACTTTTTTAAAAAAAAAATAATTGAAAAAATAATAATAATAAATCCGGCAAACTGACAGAAAAACGAAAAGTGGAGGCATGTAAAAGTCAACCGCGTTTAGCAAAAAGGTGGAAGCCAATCAAAACACTCGCCAGTTTCCCAAAGCTGCCCTGCGGCCCAACTTTAAATAAATAGATAAATAAATAAATAAATAAATACAACCGAATGTAATCCAAGTGATTATATTTAGCTTTTATCTTCCGCTCTTTCTCGTTCGGCTTTCAAGGCATACTTACCTAGAAAGGCAAGCCGCGAGGCAGGGCATTCCCAAGGAAACGGGGGGAAAAGAAGGCAATTTCCAGTAGCCCGGGTCAATGTTTTAAGCCCTAAGCCAAGCTAGCTAGTTTTAGCCGCTGTCTCTCCGAGACAGGCATTCCGCTTTGAACCCCGTTGTGCTAGGCAAGTATCAGCCACACGTACCCTGCCCCGAACACCACTCTAAGCCAGCTTCGGAAGCCTCGCCTCTGAACCTCTTGGTTTATCAACCTGAGTCTGAAGCCACAAAACGTGGGAATCCCACACGCGGCTTTTGTAAGGCAAACGGTTTCACCCGAAAAATGACCGGGGAGCAAAGAACCGCGTAACTTTCTCAATTCACACGTTCAATGAAAGAGAGATCCTGTCCTTGCTCTCTCTACATTTGTAGCCAGATTCGCACCCCCTCCAAAGCAGCCGTCAATCTCCACACCAGCCCGAACGCTGGTTTTCTTAATTCACCTTCCAAACTGGCACTCGCCGGATTCTAGCTTGTGTGTACAGAATTAACAAAGGCAAGAACTGTATGTACACGCTCATGTTTCTACTGCACACCTAAAGGCAGGGTTGGAATGGAAACAAAGACCCCCAAGGAATTTGGAAGAGTCAAACCCAATTAAAGATTCAGCGGCCGTTCTTGCAATTCACAAAGAGAACACCCTAGCATTTAAACCCCCCTACCTTTCTAGGGTCACATGGAGGATGCGCGGTTATTTAATCAGCAAACTACTTTTACTGAAGTGGTCCATGTTCTTCTGCCTTTTCATCAACACTTTTCATGTATCCAAATATTAATCGTTTCACATCATGCTCTGCCCTGTAATATAAATACATCTGTGCAAGATCTATCACCAAGGTACCCCATGGGCACAAATTTACCAACAGATTGTTTCTGGCACCTTACTTAGACGGTACTTCTCCATCTCTCTCTCTACTCTCCACAACATCTGGATTACTCAGAGCATCTCCCACCAGCAACGCCTACGAGGCTCCGCTTTCGACTTTAAAAAGCGAGCTTAAAGCCACACTGCCTTCCTCAACACCATCCTCCTCCTCCTCCTCCTCTAATTCTAATCAAAGGGCTGAGATGAACAGGGAACCTCAGCATCAGAAGAGGTTTGGTGCAGAAATAACAACTACCCACATCAGATAAGTGCCTCTCTCTCAAGTCTGCAACACCAGACCTGTGGATCCAAGGCAACTCTTTTGAGAGCGACGAGGTGGATCTCTTTAGGAGATCCTGGGGATCTCGGTACTGACTAAAACACCGCTTAATTTTGCCCCGTGGTGCCTTTGCTCCTCCTCATTCATTTTGCTCATCCATTCCATCTTCTCGACCCTTTCCCTGTCGCTGTTGGGGTGCGGAGCCTTTCCAGGAAGATCCCTGGGGGGTGTATTTTCTTTCTCCCCTCCCGGCGTGCTTCGGCAAAGATCTTTTTTTTTTTTCCCCTAAACCACCCACCGCACAGGCGTGCATCCTCCGCCTGCCCCTTTTCGATTCCACCCGCCCTCGCCTCCCCATTTGCCAAGCCGGCAAGTGAAGAAGTTGGTCTCCCAAAGCTTCGTTGGGTGCTGCAAGGTGTTTTCCAATCGCAGTTGGCATTCTTTCTTTCTTTCTTTCTTTCTTTCTTTCTTTCTTTCTTTCTTTCTTTCTTTCTTTCTTTCTTTCTTTCTTTCTTTCTTTCGCTCTTTCTTTCGCTCTCTCTCTCTCTCTCTCTCTCTTTTGGGGGGAAGAGAGAGACGGGGGGGCGGGAGGAAGGGGGTCCTCTTTCCTGGTGGCCCCAGTCGCCCGGAAAGCGCTTACCTCACATTCCTCATACTTGATATTATCCGTCAGTTTCCAAAGCATTTTCATGGATTGGCGAGAGGCGAGAGGGCGAGAGAGAGAGAAGGGGGGGGGGAGGGGGGGAGAAAGAAAGAAAGAAAAAAGAAGGAAAGACAGAAAGAAAGAAAAGGAGGAAGAGAGAGAGAGAGAGAGAGAGAGAAGACGAGGCTGTTTGCCCTGCCTGCCTGCTTTGCGCTCTCCTCTGGCATGCAGAGCGCGCCCGCCGGAGTGCTGGAGCAGGAGGAGGCGGAGGCGGCGGTGGCGGAGGAGGCGGAGGCGATCTCCCGTGCCCGCTCGGAGATCTCCCTCTAATGGTCGAAACTTTTCCCGTCTCCCACTCGTCTTTCTCTCCCAACCGCCCAGTCGCCGCCTCATTAGCATAGCAACCCTGGGCCAATTGCTCAGCAGCGCCGCCACTGGCCCGCCAAGGGAAGCGGGGTGCCTCCCTTGCAAAAAAAAAAAAAAAAACACCCCCCTTTGTCAAGCCCTGGGCCACGGCAGGGCCAGAAGGAAGCGGGCGCTCCTCCTTGGGGGGGGGGGTGCCCCCACTTTTTTTTTTTTTTTTTTTTAAAAAGCGCAGCCTCTTTTCCGCCCTGCGAGGTTCCCAAGACCGACCCGCGGGAGGACCGTGAACTTGGCTTCCCGCCTGCCCCTCCCTGCAGCCGCCCCACCGTCCCCGCGATTGCGTCCGTCCGGAAAGAACAGAGTGGGGAGGGAGGGGGTGTGTGAATAAATCCCCTTTTCTGCTCGACCAGCCCCTCCTCTCGACTGGAACCACACGGCAACCCTGCCATCCCATTCTGGACGCTTGGGATCTAGGGCTCAGGTAGGCAAGCGTGGCTGGCTCAGGAATTCTGGCAGTCGAAATCCACGAGTCGTAAAAGAGCCAAGGTTGCCTACCCCTGATCTAGGAGAAGCGAGTGGGTTCCCGAGAGATCCGTTTCCAGCCCCAGAAGGAACAGTTAACGAGCTGAGTCGGGCTCTGACCCCTGTTTATACTCAGAAAAAGTCCCCCTGGACCGAACACCCCCCCCCCCCCCCACACACACAACATACACACTGGTTAAATGGCCCGGTCTGGACTTTAAAAGCACCTTTTCTCCTCGTTCTCTGAAGTCATTTGTTTTTGTTTAACAAGATCGAGCCCCCACCTACACAAACGCACACACACACTTTTTCTCCAAACCCAACACGCGTGCATATGCACAACGTTTGTGAATCCCAACTTTTTCAGCAGCTAGGAGAAAAACTACACAACCGACTTTCTGGGCTTCTTACACCGATGAAACTTTTTTTTTCTCCCATTCAGTACTTTAAGAGATTTGTTGCCTGCTCACAGTGTATGGAGGACATTCATTTGGCCCCCTGTGCTTTTTCAGCTAAGACGTTCCCCAAATCTCCAAGGTTGTGTTCTTGAGTGGAATTACTTGGACTCAGTTCCAATCCTCAAAATGAGCTGGTTATTAGAAACACTTGAACAACAGGTGGTTTCTGAGGGAACTCAGGCAAATAGCATTTAGGCTGAAGTAAATTTGACTCAAGGCCACAATGTGGTTGTTTTTTACACACAATAGCCCTCTGCTTCATAAGGGACGGAGAGAGTTGAACGGAGCCATACGAGTCAGGGGGATTTAGGCTCAAGCAGTAAGTCAAAGGCAGAGATATGAAGTTGCCTGTACAGTTTTTCTTTTCTGTTCAAACTCAGGTCTCTTTTCGAGGCTGGGAGACAAAATACAACCACGAAGAAAGGCGCATTTTGAGGGCAAGCAGAGTGCGTCAAGTGGCCCAATATCTAGAATCGACTTTCAGCCAGATTGACTGACGGGAGATGGGAAAGAGCCTAACTTCTACTAAAGCAGCTTTTTGTAGGACCTTGGCTACATCTCTGCTTCGAATCTTTATTTGCTCCTTTATTTCATTCCGTGGCTTGTTTCAAAGCTGTTAATTTGAATTCCTTCCTTCCTTCCTTCCTCCTCCTCCTCCTCCTCCTCCTCCTCCTCCTCCTCCTCCGTTTACCGCGATTATCTCATTGCTCATCTGTTTATGCTAATCCAAACTGATTTCTGACCAGGCAGGCGGGACGTTTCAGCTCAACAAAAGCTGGGGCAGGGTCTGAGCTGGCCTTTCTTTTAAAACCAAGCCTCTTCCCTTATTCGGACACAGAAACGATGCTGGAGCTGTCCTTCCTCCGAGGAGAGCCGCATTTTCGAAGGGAACAGCCTGGAGCACAGCAAAACCTACAGCTCCAAGGAAGCAGAGACGCTCTTCCCTGGGGAGGGGGGAACCCCTAGCTGTAGCCAGCCTTCCTCCACCTCCGTCAGGGCCTGAAAAGATTAGCCAATTACCTGGGAAGCAAACAGGTTCAGATTCGGGGGGGGGCCCATTCGGAGATTTAGCCCCAACGTTAAGCAGGCAGCAGAACCGGCTGGTGGAAAACCCACCAAGCATCCGGAAGTTAGTACCAAACCCAAAGAAGCCGTAGGGCCGGTTTCTGTGGTAGCTTTCCGGGTTCTGGAGCACCTGCCCAATCTCTCTTGGGTCTTTCCCCTCTCGCTCTTCCTTTTCCTCCCGACCCCCGGAGGAGAAGTGGCGCTTTGCTTCCTTCCTCGACCTTCGAATCAAGCCGCTGACAGGCCGAGTCAAACTGCACGCACACACACACACAATATCACACACACACACCTCTCCACTCCTCTCCCTTGGCACGCCGTGGCCTTCCAGAGGCGAGCGTGTGGCGCCACTCGGCTCCCAGGCACTAACGGGAGTGGATGATTTCTCTCTCTCTCTCTCTCACACACACACACACACACACACCCCAGAGCCAGCTCAGCGGGGGGAGGGGGCGAGGGGGAAAGGGCTTCTCGAGATCTGCAGCTCGGCCTTTCTAATGGGCAACTCTGCCCCCGGCATGGTAGATTTGGCTGGCAAGGCCCTCGGGATCCGGTTCCCAAACCCGGTCAAAACAAGGTGGAAGGGGGGTAGTAGTTGAAAAAGAATACGGCGGAAGAGCTTCAGGCACGCTTTCAGGTGAACCAAAAGGGACCTCGCGAGGTCCTCCTAACGTTCTGGCATACCCAAGGAGCGTTGGTCTCCCAGCTTATGCCAGTGGGATTGCCGTCTCTAGTGACCCAAGCCTGTAAAGGAGCAGCTGGTCGGCAGCTTAGGCCTCCTCGTCAGGAAACGTGGGGCTTCTGGAAGGAAGGAAGGAAGGAAGGAAGGAAGGAAGGAAGGAAGGAAGGAAGGAAGGTAGGTCACCCCTTTAGTTGAGCTGCCCATCTTAGACCAGTGGAGGGTCACCCCATAGGCCAGAAGTGGCCTCCAAGCCACGACGACCTTTGCCCACACTCATTCAAGCACTCAAGGCGTGGTGGTAGCTGGGCGTTTGGCACATCTGAAGCCGCCATTCCCTGCAGTAGGGAAAGAGCTTTCCCTGAAAATTGGCCTCCGACCCAGACGCAGTTACAGTTCGATCCTAAACGTGAATAATTGGAAATATGCGCACGCGGTTAAAATTGTTGCACCAAGTCAGCTACCGACTTCCACAGAAAGAAGCCAGCGACCCAGGCGTTAAAAGAACAAGGACTACTTTTAAGGTTGCTTAAGCCTCCACGAATGTTTTACAGAGAGGCGCACAGGCTTTCACAGCATATCTAGAACTGGATTTCGGGAAATCAAAAGAGCTTAAAAGACCCTTGACTTTTCTTTACCTCTTGGTCTGGAGAAAAGCCACCAAGCTTCCAGACCTGTGTAAAGTTAACTTTTTCTCCTTCTACGGAAACAACTCTGAAATTAGTACCGCAAAGAAAAGGCAGGGAAACCTAAAAGCAACCCACACTGGTTGCTACTGGTTGGAGCTACTGGTTGGTTTTGGAAATCCGCTGAGAGCTGGAACAGTGATAAAGGTGAGTGGTGGGGTTCAGCCTTTTTTCGGGGTGTGCCTTCAGATAGTGATCTCCTCGTTCATAAAGCAGTCCAGAGCCTGCAGTTAACTTTTTCTTTCTTTCTTTTTTTCTTTTCTTTTCTTCTTCTTGTTGTTCAGGGCCCACCAGGACAGTGGATATAGAGTGATGTTTAGCTTTCTCCCACTGAAGGATGGTGGATAAATGGTACCTCTGATCCATGCAACAGTTTTACTAGGCCTAGAGACTGAGGCAGAATGACTTTCACTTTCTAGCACCTTTTAAGTTTCTCGGACCTCCTCCGGGTGCCAGAGAAACTAACCAGGTGCTTACACAACGGCTACAGTATATGCTCCTTTTGGGGAAACGTCTTTGTGCATTTCTCTCCTGCTCTTGCTCTCTCACAAATGCACACACACACAGTTCCACAGTCACACTGACCCAGCAGATTTTTTTTTTTTTAAAAAAAATATCTTTTTAAAATTGCTTTTGGTATTTGCAACGGATTCCAGAGAACCTTGGCAAAAAGAACCAGCAAACCAACCAATTCAAAAGTTCAAACTAATCCAAACAAGATGACTCTCTAGTGTGGATGGCTTATTACTGTAAAGACAAAGCTATGTTGCTTCCTTTTTTAAAAAAAAATAAGTCTCTCTCTCTCTCTCTCTCCCTCTCTCTCTCTCTCTCTCTCTCACACACACACACACACACACACACACACAACTCTCCCCACCTGTTAAAAGGTCAGAGAGTCTCTTTGCAGTGTCTTAATCAGATTGCCTTTTCCCTTGGGGACATTGCCCTTAAGACTAGTGGGTTGGTTACTCAGCCTACTGACCTGGATCCATGCTTCCCTTTCCTTCTTTAAATTACAAGCAAAAAAAAAAAAAAACACAACCCAACAACAACCCCTGCACCGAGAAAAGAAGGGAAGGAAAGGAAAGCGAAAGGAATAGAGGAATTGCGTTACCTGCCAGTCCCCCATTTTTGCAAGGAGTGACATATTGGCTCCGGGCTGCCTATCACCAGGTCCCCGCTGGTCATGGAATGAGTGATCCGCCCGCTTGCCTCTTCTGCGATCTCTTTAGGCAAAGGCTTCTTTTACCTGCCAGAGGAACTGCCTCACCTGGT